AAATGCTGGAGAGGGTGTGGAGAAAAGGGAACCTCTCACACTGTTGATGGGAACGTAAACTGATACAGCCACTATGGAGGACAGTATGGAAGTTCCTTAAAAACCCCAAAATAAAGCTACCATATGACCCAGCAATCCCACTACTGGGCATATACCATGAGAAAACCATAATTCAAAAAGATACATTACATGTATTGTAATGTTCAAGGTTTCCCTGGTGGCTTCCCTGGTAAAGAATCTGCTTGCAATTCGGGACACCCAGGTTCGATCCCTGGGTCAGGAGGATGACCTGGAGATGGGAATGGCACCCACTCCAGTATTCTTGCCTGAAGAATTCCAGGGAAAGAAGAGCATGGCGAGCTAGAGTCCATGGGGTCGCAAAGAGTCAGATATGACTGTGTGACTAACACTTTCACACACTTCCTTTCTCACCCCAGTGTTTACTGCAGCACTATTTACAATAGCCAGGACATAGAAGCAATGCAAATGCAGCGCACTGACAGATGAATGGATAAGGAAGATGTAGTGCACATATACAATGGAATGTTACTCAGCCATAAAAAGGAATGAATGTGAGTCCTTTGTAGTGATGTGGATAAACCTAGAGTCTGTCATACACATTTCATTTACAGAGTGAAATAAGTCAGAAAGAGAAAAACAAATATCACATATTAATGCATATTTTTGGAATCCAGAAAAATGGTACTGATGAACCCATTTGCAGGGCAGGAACAGAGATGCAGATGGAGAGAATGGACTTGTGGACATAGTGGGAGAAGAAGAGGGTGGGACAAGCTGAAAGAGTGGTATTGAGTATATACACTACCATGTGTAAAACAGATAGCTAGTGGGAAGCTGCTGATGACCTAGAGATGGGAGCGAGGCTCAAGAGGAAGGGGGTATATGTATACATATAGCTGATTCACATTTTTGTACCGCAGAAACTAACACAGCATTGCAAAGCAATTATAAAATTGCTTTATAATTGATAAAAAATAAATAAAAAAGAAACAAGTGTGTGAGAGCAGCTCATAGGCCCAGCTTCTGCTCTTGTCCCAGCAGCCAGTTCCTGGATCTCTCCAGGTGACTGGCTTCCTGCACACAGCACTTGAGACACTTAACAGATCAAGGCTCCAGCCTGTGCACCAAGTTCATCTTACCTGGTCGGGGGGCACAGAACATTCTGTAACACGACATGAACTTGTTTCAGGTTCAAAACCAACTAGCATTGATTGAGAACCTACTATATTCCAGGCTTTGGGCCAGATCATTTTGTCTACATTATCACATAATCTTTATGACAACCTGGTGTGAAGTATTATGTCATTTTTTGAGTTGGGAGGTCCCGGAGTGTTGCCTAAGGTTCCACGATGAATTAATACACGTGGCAGCTTCTTTCCTCCATTTTAGCTATTTCTGAGGTCCTTTCCATTCTAATATTCTCTTACTTGGGACCATTGGGAGAAACTTGGGAATTGATTACAGTTGAGAGCAAGGTATTAGATGTTTCCAATAGGACAGCGGCTTCTTTGCTAGTAGTTACAGTCTCTCCTCTCAGGTGCTCTTTCATCTGGATAACAGACAGCTACTGTTTCCTTCTTCTTATCCTCCCCTCCTCCCTCCTCTCTCCTCCTCCTCCTCCCTCCCCACCTCCTCCTCCCTCCTCCTCCTCTTTCTGTCTTTTCATAGTCCAGAAAGCGAAAGTCAAGGAAAACATGAAACTCGGAACAGTGGAGAAGTTGTATAACGAACGCCACCATAGCGAGGAGCAGGAGAGAAAGGGGCGGAGAGCTAAGGAGAAGATGCTCAGGTCCGGATACAGAGCTTTGGGACCTTTTCTCAGCCTGCCTCTCGTAGACTAGTGGAGAGGGCTCAAGAAAGTCACATGACCTGCTTAGTGTGACTGCCAGATGTCCTCTTCCCTTTGAGTCAACAGTGAGACTGCATTTCCTAGCCAATCTGAAGTTAAGATGATCAAGTGATTGAGTTTTGCCTGATGGGATGTAGGTGGAAGCGATGTGTGCAACTTCCGGGCCTGGCTGGTAAGACCCTCTCACTCAGGACCTTCACTGCTCCTTCCTCTCCCGCAGCAATCCTAGAAGCCACTCACTGCAGACAGTGGGGCCAGGGGTGGAAGGAGCTGGGTCTTCCCCTTCATTACCTCTGTGAGAGGTCAGCTTTCATTATGTGAAGCCTCTGGGATGTGAGGGTCTATCTGTGCCACCAGCTAGCCTCGCCTTGGCTAATATACTGTTTCCTCATATGGGAAAACAGAGGCTGGAGGCCAGAATGATTTCTAAGGTCCTTCAGAATTTCACAGCTTCTGGTTCAATGGCTCCATGAAAGGGAGAGCAATTTCCAGCAGCATAGCATTGAGCATGATACATACTACCTTGTGAGTTTCTCTACAGCCAGTCTTGGGGAGCCCCCACCAGAGACCAGTGGTAAACAGCCTTTCTTTCTTGGTTCCAAATGACCTAGGGAAGGACTGTTTTCTCCTCTCTGTGAATTGTGTATGATAACAAGGGCCTCTTTTTATATTCCAGAACAGTGCTGAAGATGACCTAAATGATGGTTTGTAAAGATCCCTTTTGTACATGCTAAATGTCATGCAAGGGATTATTATTGATTATAGATCAAGTTGTATTGGGACTGAAGAAGTCTGCAAAAGATTCAGGAACTCATGAGCAATTACTTCAAGTATGACATTTATTTTCAGTGACCCCAGCCAAGGTGCACAGTATTAGCCCAAATGGTGATATAATCCTTTTCGTGTAAATCCAATAGGTTAAGGCTGAGGCTTCTGTACATAGACAATTAAGAGGGAGGTTATTTTCATGTCAGGAATCTATCCAGGTTCCCTCATCTTAACTCACTTAATACTGAGAGAAAGAAGGAGGAAGCTTTCAATTGAAGAGTTATCAATTAACAATCAATTCAAAATAATGATAAGATAGCACTAAGATTGGGGGAGGGTGTGTCAGACTAAATAAAATCCAACTTAGATGTGATTTTTAAAAACTAGTGCACAAAATGAAGTACAATTTCTTAAGATGGGTTTGCAAAGGCACTCCTATCAATACAATTTTTGCACCTTCCATGTGCTTGGAATAAGAAATATAAATTCCCACTCTATGGAGAAAATAGCAATGTACACTTAGAGAATTTGATGTCAGGTAAAAATAGCCAACACCCAGTATATCCTGCCATGTTCTCTTTTACTGAGCATTTTACAGGTACTAACTCATTTAAGCCTTGTTAGAGATAAGTGCTGTTACACTGATCTCCATTTTACAGGTTGGGAAAATTAAATCACAAAGAGATTAATTGCCAAATCCAGGGAGCTTACTCCTAACTACTAATCTATAGTGTCCCTTATTAGTGCTAAGGGCTAGAAAGGACATAGATTAAGAAATAAAATACAATAGAGAGGAGGTGGCTAATTAGATGGGGTGGTTAAAAAGAGAAGATATTTGAGCAAAACCTGAGTGAGGAAGCCAGTCTGAGGATATCAATGGAAATATGATGCTCCAGGCAGACAGAACAGCCAGTGCAAAGGCCCTGAAGTGAAGAAAAGTTAGTGGGTTTGAGGATTGTCAAGAAGGTTGGTTTGACCTCAATGGATAAGCAACAAAGAAAGTTGGAAACGAAAAGCAAAGCTGGAAAGATAGCTGGGGCTGGTTAGATCTTCTAGGGCCCTGACATCCATGTCTGAGAATTATGTAAAACCACTGTGGAGTCTTGAGCAAGTGTAGTTAGAGGGTCTGAGTCACACACACAGGATAGAAGGCAACAATGAATCATCTGGCTGCTCGTTATGCGGCAGCAGTGCAAGGTGACGGGAGTGGACACCGCGTGGGGGCGGAATGCAGTCTGCCGTGATGGTCCAGGTAAGAGAGAACTGTTATGAAAGGACAGTGATACTGTACTAATGTAAGTACTGAAGCCTTAGAGTTGGTTACTTCAGCCTTACTCAGCAAATTCTGACTTTCCAAACAGGCTTTTGTCCCCTTCATTTCATGAAAGCACCAGCTGTGGGGTGTGAGAAAAAGAGAGGAATAAAGATGATATCAAGTCTATCTTGGCCTGAGCAACCATGTATGAGGTGGTTAAAGGTGGTTGGAGGTAATTGTGAGTTTTGTTTTGGATATGCATGTGGAGATGCTGAAAACTCAGCCTTTGTGCAATGGTGCCTAATTGTATTTCACAGACAGAGTTGGGTGAAATAGAATAGAGTAGCTTCACTAGGCAAAGGGGGACAGAGTCGACTCATGCCTCTCAAAAACTGTGTGTACCAAACCAGGAGGATTTGGTAAGGAGTTTTATAGCAGTGGTTCAAGGATGGGATTGCTGATAAGGATCAAGGTTTGTACAGGGCAGGCACTCTAATCTAGTCTCAGGTAATCTCTTTTACTTACTTTATTTATTTATTGGGTTGTGCTAGGCTTTAGTTGCAGCATGCCAGGATATTTAGCTGTGGCATACCAACACTTAGTTGCGGCATGTGGGATCCAATTCCCTGACCAAGAATTGAACCCAGTCCCCCTGCCTTGGGAGTGCAGCATCTTAGACACTGGACAGGAAAGACTAGAGATCTCTTCAAGAAAATTAGAGATACCAAGGGAACATTTCATGCAAAGATGGGCACAATAAAGGACAGAAATGATATGGACCTAACAGAAGCAGAAGCTATTAAGAGGAGATGGCAAGAATACACAAAAGAACTATACAAAAAAGATCCTTTTGTTCTGCCTATTCCCACCTCAAACCCCAGTTCTTAACATTCCAAGTAAGAGACAGCCTACAGGCTGGGAGGACGAAAAGAAATGGGCCTGATTTGGAGCCAGGTGCGAGGGGGTGTTTGAGGGCCCGAAGGAAGGAGCATCTATCAGCAAGCACACCTGGGAAGAGCTGACTATCGGCCCATCAACTTTGTCCCCAGCGATGCCGCCCTCCTGCCCCCAGCTCCTCCCGGCCTCTCTCCTGACCTTTGTGAGCAGGACTTATTGGGGAGCCCCTCATTCACCAAGAAGCTCCAGGGAAAAGGAAAGGAGCCCCCTACCCAGTCCTCAGTATACAGAAGGGGAAGAAAACTAGCTGCCTGTCCAAAGCCGCTGACCTGGACCATCACTGGGTGGCCAAGGCCTGGCTCAACGACATCGGCCTGTCCCAGTACTCCCAGGCCTTCCAAAACCACCTGGTCGACGGGCGGATGCTGAAGTCCCTGATGAAGCGGGACCTGGAGAAGCACTTATGTGTCCAAGAAGTTCCACCAGGTCAGCATCCTGCTGGGGATCGAGCTGCTCTACCAAGTCAACTTCAGCAGGGAGGCTCTCCAGGATCGCCGGGCCCGCTGCGAGACACAGAACATAGACCCCGTGGTCTGGACCAACCAGCGGGTGCTCAAGTGGGTGTGAGACATTGACTTGAAGGAGTAGGCAGACAACCTGACCAACAGTGGCGTCCACGGCGCCGTGCTGGTGCTGGAACCCACGTTCAACGCTGAGGCCATGGCCACCGCCCTGGGCATCCCCAGCGGGAAGCACATCCTCCGGAGACACCTGGCGGAGGAGATGAGCGCCATCTTCCACCCGGCCAACTGCACAGGCATCCGGGAAGCTGAGCAATTTGGAACACCCCCCGGGAGGGCCTCCAGCATCACCTGGGCAGGGAAGGAGGAGAACAGCGGTGGGATCAAGTACAAGGCTGGCCGGCTGCCCCTGGGAAAAATAGGAAGGGGCTTCAGCAACAAAGACCCTGATTTCCATGATGACTATGGCTCTCTTCAAAATGAAGATTGCGGAGACGAGGACTCCCAGGGCAGGCCGGAGCAGTGCCGTCTGGAGGGCTACAATGGCCTGGAGGTCACCAACGTGTAAGGAGCAGATGCTCCACCAGACCCAACACAGAGAGGCCCGGGGAGGAAGGACATCCTGGGACCATCACCACTGTACATAGTCATCTTGGCCTGAGGATGCTCCTCTGGTCCCTGGAAATCTCAGCAGACTGCCGTGACTTTGAATGGGATCCTGACGGAATGAGGGGGCACCAGTCTGCCTGCCTGGAGCGGACTGAAGACTTCCCTGCTCCCTGGAAGAAGACTAGCCCGAAGGACTAATCAGGGTGCCCAGCACCTCCATTATCAAGGCTCCACCACTGAGTGACTCAGCCACTGAGCAGTCCAAGTGATCCTGGGAGCCTTGAACTAAGCCTCCTGGGTATAAAGAAGCACAGGGTTCCCCAAGATACCATCCCAAGAGGAGCAGGTAGGACTCTAGCGAGATACACAGAGCCCAGTGGTGACAATTCCAGGAGCTTGCAAAGCTGGGGGTTCACCATCCTCATGTGGACCCTTCCAGCCAGCCTGGTGGTGGTCTCAGCTCCCACATACATGCCCTCCATGACCGAGAACTTAGTTTCTGACTCGGGTCGCTGAATCTCCCTTGGGAGAATGCAAAACAGGAAGGTCATTCAAATCTTAAAAGCCTTGTGTCATGTCAGCGTGGATGTGTTGAAGGGCTACCCAGCCCCTCCCCTGGGGAGGGATGGCGATGATCCCTGTAGAGGTGGGGCTGAGCAGCAGCCTTCCTAGGAAGTGTGGATACCCCATCATCTGGATGAAGGACATCGTGTCAACAAGACTGGGGATGACTGAGTTCGGTCTGTGACAACTTGTCCCAAGTGTGACCGCAGAGCAGGGAGATGCGTGTCGCTGTGCACCCAACAGACCTTGTCACCTGACACACAGGTGTGCTCACCAGTGCCCTGACGGAGCTGAGTCTCACCAGCCGCTAAGGTGATGGAGAGGACCCCCAGCCTTCCTCTTGACTCTGCTGCTGTTTTGCTGTGTGGCTTATTCCCAGTGGCCTCACCTCTCTGTGCCTCAGCATCTTCATCTACAATACTTCTGGTTCCCTCCTGGGAATGTTGTGAGGATTAACACTTGCTAACGTCTGTAACATTTGGTACCCTCTCAGGAGACAGGTGGGAAGTTATGGGGTCTGGGATGGGTGTCTCATTTCCCATTTACAACACAGAATTGACACTGTACTCATTCTCTCCAGCTGTTTTGGTTGGAGCAATGAGCACAAGGAGGGCAAGGCATGTTTAATGTGCAAGCTCTCCAGGGCCCCCATAAAGCTGGACTCCCAAAAGAGGAAAATCCCACAGCCCTTGAAAACCAGTTTGATTCCTGTGTTCAGACTTTAATTCATTGACCTCATTACTGAAAAATGATTAGGGATGGACAGACAGTATTGGGGTTCCACTTACACTTTGGTTATCAAAGCACATGATTCATTTGGAACCACGATGTTTGACTTCCAATGAGGCCTTTGGCACCGCCAGTCTATAAAAGGTTGGAATTTCCAAGACTGGAAGCAGGGGTCGGCCTCCAAGAACCATCAAAGCACCTGTTCTTCAACTCAATGGATGATTTCCCCGCGAGGGAAAAGCACAAACCTAGGCCCAATGAGCTTAAGAAATCCTCCTCCCTGAGGCTGAAGACCATTATATTCTAAACTTAACACAAGCACAGCTTTTCTTACCATTGGAAACCAAATGCCTATTTGGTAGACAGGCGATGCCCACTCTGGTCTGAACTTTTGACCTCCTAGGGACACATGTCTGATTCCTGGGCCCAAGGAGTGAGGCTCTGGAACCTGACTTGGCTTTTCTGAGGCTCCAAATCCACTATCTTTATGACATTCAGCCACACATGTGGGGTTTGAGGCTGCAGTGCCCACAGCCCAGAGAGGAGAGTAAAACCTCCCTCTAACCTGATGCCACAGGTCACTCCCAGGCCAGCATCCAGGCTGGGTGACAGGGGCGCCAGGGTCTGCCTCTCAGGAAGCAGCAAACCTGAACGGCAGTTTTTCTCACAAGGTGAGCAGGAATGGCAGATAGGGAGGTGCCTGAATGCAGGTCTGATTATATGAAACCAATGCATTGTTCCACAACTCAATCCCACTGGGGACAAGATGGGCAAGTGGACAATTGGGGCAGGTCGCTGGAAGGAATGGCATTGCCCGAAACATTCTCAGCGTTTGGCTAGCAGGCCTGGGGCAATATGGGCAACCTCGAATGTGCCTTTTAGTCCAAATGATGCTCTAAGTTCACATTCTCGCTTGCCCAATTCTTTGTATCCCTGGCAGTCAGGTGAGCATTTGGAACTGACTTTTCAACATGAGGATGAGTTGGCTGGTAAATGAACAAGCTCCACACAGTTAAATCAGGAAAGCTCTGTCTGCGGGAAAAATCCTAAATGACAACTCTGTTACAAGGGCAGGCAAGAAGAGCAGGGCATGTGGACTCGGCAGAGAGGTCCTGGTAGCTGGTTAGCAAAGGCTGGCAGAGTGGCCACCCGTGGAACAGTGACTGGCCACATCCTGTCCAAACAGCCTGGGTCATGGTCTTGGTCCTTTAAGGGTGGTGACATGACATCTGGACCTGGGAACCATGTGCATGTGCTTCTCTGAGAGCTGATGTCACCTGTGCTCATGGGTGCTGGCCCTAGCCAAAGAGATAGTTGCTGCCAGAAGTTGGAGAGAACCAGGGTAGGCAGAGACACCCCATATTCCTCCTAGTAGCTGGGGGCTGGAGCCATAAGAAGGCTCAGCTTTCCAACCCTGTGCGCCTCCGAAAGGCTCCCATGTCCTTTGCTGAGCAGGGCCTTTCTCCCAGAAATCTGTCTCACCATTGCAGTCATTGGACCCCAGGGTGCAGGAGACAGGGAGACGCTACAGGAGTACCTTGACCAGATGAAGTTGAGGGGAAGGGCTCTCCCCACAGCCCAGCCAGCATGGAAGGGGCCTCTGAATAGTGACCCCATATCTTGAGGTCACTGAACAGGGCTGGGTCCAGCAGAATGGGATGATTTGGCAAGATGTTCCAAGCCTTGCTCTCCCCCTTCCCATCACAGTCCATATGTTCTGGACACTATCACTTCTGCTCTGCCCTTCGAGGTTCCAGTGGGCTCCTGGCAGTTGAGTGGCAAGAAAAAGAAGCCCTGTGCAAAATAGCATCTTCTGACGCTAACATCCTTCCCAGCAGTTGGCTGATGAGAAGAATTTCCTGAGCCCTAACACCTCCAGGAGCTTGTGGCTGCAACGGAAACAAGTTGTCCATGAGCTAGGATGATGTTCCTGACATTTAATTGCTGGTCATGGCCCCAAATGTCTTCCCAAGAGTGAATTTTAACACTGTAACTATAAATACTACTTCACAGCACTTCAAAAAAAAAAAAAAGATCCTTATGACCCAGATAACTATGATGGTTGGATCACTCACATAGAGCCAGATATCCTGGAATGTGAAGTCAAGTGGGCCTTAGGAAGCTCACTACTAACAAAGCTAGTGTAGGTGATGGAATTCCAATTGAGCTATTTCAACTCCTAAAAGATGATGCTGTGAAAGTGCTGCACTCAATATGCCAGCAAATTTGGAAAACTCAGCAGTGGCCACAGGACTGGAAAAGGTCAGTTTTCATTCCAATCCCAAAGAAAGGCAATTCCAAAGAATGCTCAAACTTCCGCACAGTTGCACTCATCTCACGCGCTGGTAAAGTAATGCTCAAAATTCTCCAAGCCAGTTTTCAACAGTACATGAACCATGAACTTCCAGATGTTCAAGCTGGATTTAGAAAAGGCAGAGGAACCAGAGATCAAATTGCCAACATCAGTTGGATCATCGAAAAGGCAAGAGAGTTCCAGAAAAACATCTAGTTTTGCTTTATTGACTAGGCGAAAACCTTGGACTGCGTGGATCACAACAAGCTGTGGAAAATTCTTAAAGAGATGGAAATACCAGACCACCTGACCTGCCTCCTGAGAAATCTTTATGTATGCAGGTCAAGAAGCAGCAGTTAAAACTGGACATGGAACAACAACAGACTGGTTCCAAATTTGGAAATGATTACATCAAGGGTGTATATTGTCACCCTGCTTATTTAACTTCTATGCAGAGTACATCATGTGAAATGCTAGGGTGGACGAAGCACAAGCTGGTATCAAGATTGCTGGGAGAAATCTCAACAACCTCAAATACATAGATGACATGACACTTATGGCAGAAAGTGAAGAAGAACTAAAGAGCCTCTTGATGAAAATGAAAGATGAGAGTAAAAATGTTGCCTTAAAACTCAACATTCAGAAAACTAAGATCATGGCATCTGGTCCCATCACTTCATGGCAAATAGATGGGGAAACAATGGAAACAGTGAGAGACTTGATTTTTTTGCGGCGGCGGGGGGGGGGGCGGGCTCCAAAATCACTGCAGATGGTGACTGCAGCCATGAAATTAAAAGACACTTGCTCCTTGGAGGAAAAGCTATGACCAACCTAGATAGCATATTAAAAAGCAGAGACATTACTTTGCCAACAAAGTTCTATCTAATCAAAGCTATGGTTTTTCCAGTAGTCATATATGGATGTGACAGTTGGACTATAAAGAAAGCTGAGCGCCGAGGAATTGATGCTTTTGAATTATGGTGTTGGAGAAGACTCTTCTTGAGAGTCCCTTGAACAGCAAGGAGATCAAACCAGTCCATTCTAAAGGAAATCAGTCCTGAATATTCATTGGAAGAACTGATACTGAAGTTGAAGCTCCAATACTTTGGCCACCTGATGCAAATAATTGACTCATTGGAAAAGACCCTGATGCTGAGCAAGATTGAAGGTGGGAGGGGAAATGGATGACAGAGGATGAGATGGTTGGATGGCATCACCAGCTCAATGGACATGAATTTGACTAAGCTCTGGGAGTTGGTGTTGGACAGAGAAGCTTGGCATTCTGCAGTCCATTGAGTCACAAAGAATTGGACACTATTGAGTGACTGAACTGGACTGATGAAATAACAGGGCTTCCCAGGTGTCACAAGTAG